CCCCAAAACCCCAAAACCCCAAAACCCCAAAACCCCGGGGTATAAGGAAGGAATGGAAAGTAATTGGGAAGGTATATAAAATATTTATAATGAACTCACTTTCAGGATTAGCTGAGCTTTCTCAATTCTCTCCAGATCAAAGCTCTTGCTTTGGAAACAGCATGTTTGCATGGGAGACTAAAGACTCTTTCTCATTTGATCCATTTTAGCAATACTCAGAATATTGTTCCAATTCCTCTTTTGAATGAAGAACAAAGCCTACTGCCTAACTCCGAAACTAGTACACCGCTGAGGGCTAGCCAAGATAACCAGAAGGATAACTTAACCTCAGCTTTGAAGGATTCTACAGATGTTAAATCCAAGAAAAGAAGAACTCCTTCTCTAAAAGGACTCTCAAAAAGAAAAGACATCGTCTTTAAGTGCCTTCTCAGAAAAATAAGAAGATTTCATTGGGAAAAGTTCAAGAACACGACTGGCTTCTGAGTTAAAAGAAAGTTATCAATCGAACACCAGAGACTGCTTCTTATTAAGTACATTGAGCAAGAGTTTGGGATGGAGCCTAATAAAGAGTTCTTGGACACCCTTGACAAGGTCTTGTTCATGAGAGAGACTAGGAATAGAACTGCCAACATTTATAACGACTTGCTATACAGTTATAGCAGAAGAAAGCTACAAACCTGAATGAGCGACCCATACTTCAAATGCCTTGTGTTCCACTATTCTTTCGAAGTAAACCCCGATGAAATCGATAAAGATGAAGAAGAAGGCTTAAAGATGTGTCTGAAGCTATAAAGACCACAATGTGATAGACTACCTCAGGACTCACTCTAGTTCTTTTACCCTAATCAATATCATAAATGTTGATAAATTATTAATAAAACTCTCTTATGTCCTAAAACAGCTCCTTAATTTTCTCATCTAACGGTATGAAAGAGCAATAAATTTCAGCTCTCAGATTTCCATATAAACTTAGCTCCTTATCTTTACTTTTTCTTTATAAATAAACTCCAAGCAGGACAAAATTTGAAGAATAAAAATGGAGCTAAAATCTCGTAATGTCACCTATGGCCACTTATTTGCTGATTTTAGCTATAAGAGAGAATTATGATAGTGATGGTTTATTCTGGTTAAAGAGGAAATAGATAACTAAAGAAGTGCTATGAGTTCTAATTTCTTATAATTTATCAATCAAAGCAATCAGAAGTTCTTCCTTACAATAGGCTGGTACAATTAGAGCAAAAAGTTTAATAAAAATTCGACAGTGGTCACCTAGAAAAGCCGCTGATAAAGAAGGTGATATAATTTTCAGAGTTTAAGTGTGGAGCAATTGGTCAGATTTACATATAAAAAATTGCTAAAAATGTTTCCTTTTAAGCCTCAAGTGTTCTACATGACGTTGCGCTTAATCCTTGACTAAATTAGGGGTGGTCTTGTGCTCATAAGTAACCATCGTCAGAAATTCATAAATAATTTAGCTTAAGATTCTCTTATGAAAAACTTGATGAAAATTCAGATTTTAATTGATTCGAAATTGGGAAGAGTCCACGCTGATTCCTTAGAAGCCTGGAAAACTTGATCTCATTTTTATTAACCAGAGAGTCTTTAAGAGGGAGCAAGCATCTTTTTGGATATCTCTTGATAAGCAACCCTTCTGAATGAATTCTCTAGTGCTACTGAAGTTTATTCGATAATTTAATGAAGAGTTTGATAGGATGACCTCAGAGGATGAGTGTAAGAGAATTAAACCTTCTGAGTTTTAGAAAAAATAAAGTGGTTGGATAACTATAAAAATTCTTAATTTATTTCTATCTAATTCCGCATTTTTGATCAATTAGGTAGACTCATTTATTTTCCTCATCTAACAGAGCCAAAATTCAACACAGAGCTCTAAAAACACACCTTTCATCCTTACCACCCCTTCCAGACCCCTATCCAACCCCCAAAATCTACCCATCCCTCACAAATCCCTCAGCCACCCCCATAAATCTACCCTTCAACCCTCCTCTATTCCCACGGGGTTTTGGGGTTTTGGGGTTTTGGGGTTTTGGGG